GGCCTCACCAGTGCCGAGTCCAGGGGTCAGATCCCTTCCCTGTCCCTGCTGGCCACGCTATTGCTGACACAAGCCAGGATGCCATTGGCCTTCTTGGCCCCCTGGGCACACTGCTGGCTCCTGTTCAGCCGGCTGTCAATCAGCACCCCCAGGTCCCTCTCTGACTGGCAGCTCTCCAGCCACTCCTCCCCAAGCCTGTAGCGCTGCTGGGGGTTGTTGTGGCCCAAGGGCAGCCCCCGGCATTTGGCCTTGTTTGCCCTGAGAATCCTTACTGCTTATGTAAGCAGTGTAACTCGGTGAGAAACTCATTTTTGAGCTCAGGAAGCTCGAAAAGTTTTGAGAAAGTACTAGTCACTGGAGTGCCTTGTTGAAACTGCAAGGTTTTCTCATCTCTTCTGCTAACATTTCATTTCCTCAACCATGTTTCAGGAAAGTGTTTTTTTGTACACTTCACATGTTCAGGTTCTTTTGGTTCTACTTGAAGAAAGTTAATAACCAAATATGATGATGATGTAGAACATAAGGGCTCTGTTAAGACCCACTTGATAAAAAGGATGGCTGCCTGGCTTTTTTCCTAAAAGATACCTGGTACTTCCCCTACCATACTCCAGAGCATTTTGGATGGGTTCAGCTCTTAACAGAAAAATTATTTTTGGTTCTGTAGTGCTGAATCCATTCCAAAAAGGGACAGGCTATGTTCTGTTCCACCAGCCACAAAAATACTCCATTGCTCTTTGAGATATGTACAATGTTTGGTTGGCAAAGCTTTTTTTTCCAATGGTGCTTGCCTGTCAGTTGTTTCTCAGGCTCATACAGTGTACTTGCTAGTATGTTTATCAATATAATGCAAAACCAGCTTACACTTGCAAGGCTAATCTGCCTGACTTGTACTTTGGAGAACTGAAGGAGAAAAGCTTTTTTTAGAAAGTGATTCAAAACAAACTTGCATAGTCTGGTGGCTTGATAGGGAGCCTGATGAGATTAGTCTCGCTAGCCTGAAATTGGCTTATGTGAATACTTTGCAAGTCCATTCTGGTACTTCAGAAAATCTCTTTGTACTACTTCAGAAAACTGAAGTTTGGTTTGGCTGGGATTGATAAAATTGTTTTATTGTAGTTGTGCTGTAATTTTCTGCTGGCATCTCAGAGCTTTCTGTAGTCTAAATTGGAATCCTTCACAATACAATTTTTGTAGAAAGAAAGGTGGCTTACTTATAGTTCTGCTTGAGAGTATTTTTGGCAGGAATCATGTTTCCCCTGCTGGATTTTAAAAGCTATTTTCCAAATGTGTTAGTCGTCTTGGATTGCTTTTATTGTGACAGGCTTCAGCTTTGGTGCAGTTCTGGAACAGACTAACCTTAGAAGGAGTGTGGTTGTGAGAGAAGTGTGTCAGATGTCGATGTGGCCTTGGAAGTTTGTTGTGGTCAGGACAGTGGAGTTCTGCCCAACTTGTAGCCTAGATAAAATGATTGGTGGGAGTTGCTATCTTTAAAAAAAAAAAAAATAAAAAATTTGTGAGTTCAGTAGTTTTTTCTTTTGTTTTCTAGCGTAATTTTGAGTATAGTGAAAATCTGAGTATACAACAGATCTGTTGAATATGATGATGGTTTCTCTTTTCCACTCTGAGAAGTGCCTCATTTAAGATCTGTTCCTTATTCTATAATGTTGTAGTAAATCAAAAATACAGGCTTTGTTTCCATTTTAAGACTGAAAGTATAAAGTAGCCTTTGTAATAAATATGAATCAGGCCTTTAATCCATAGCTCTGTAGGAGTTTGAAGCTAATTCTTCTGAACGATCACTGCAAAGTTTTATACTATTTTTGAGTTGTCAACAAGAGCTCCCTGTTTAGTGACAAACTTTTACTTTAGCTGAGGAAAGTATATTTATGTACTCTTTAATTGCAGGCTACCAACTATGAATGTGTCATATAAGCAGAAATAAAATGCATGAATATGAGGATAATGGGGGTGGCTGGATATTTCTCGATTTTTGAAACTGATTTTGAGCATGTATTAGAGCAGAACTGTAAGAACATCATTAAATGAAGGGAGGCAGTCTATCTAGATTGGGCATAATTTGTCTCAGTTATGTGTCTGTACTGCAGGAGATGTAGGCATTAATGTTATTGCTTTCTGTTAATGGATGTTTCCTCTAGGCAACAAATGAACTGAATTTGAATACTGCTGTGGTTAAGCATTTTTAAATTGTGACCAGCATGTATCTTCATCCCTTAAAGTTATAAAAAGTATTAAAATGAAGCCAGTTTCTCTGTAATTAAAAACAAATTTGGAAAGTAGTATAATTATAACAGTCTTCTATGAAGACAGACACCAGTGTGACAAATTTTGTTCCTCACTGAGTTCAATTACACTGCTTTTGCTACAGTGTTTTTTTCTTTTCAAGTTTCAAAGAATCCACATTTACATTCTGTTTCTAAACTATGTTAATATTTAGAAAATCACACAGTAAAATGATGAACAGAGCAAAGACATTGAAATCCTTTAGTACAATTATCATTTAGTACATTAATTTTATTTATATCCTAAATTAAAATCTGTTGACTTCAGTGTGAGTTTTGTGTGTGAGGCAAAAATCTGTCCTTTTATCAAATAGATTCAGGACTGTAACATTTGAAAATGTTGCCTTTGGGGATTTTCAGTGTGATTGAAAAGTTTTATTTATCATGTCCTCTCTTCAGACTCTGTCACTTTAATCGTTTTCTTTTTGTAGAAAAACTGTAAGAAATACATAGTAAGAATATAAACACAAAAATGACATTTTGATGACAGTGCCCATTTTGATGGGTTCCTGATGTCGTCTTCTGGGACAAATGCTTATTGGTGCTCGTGATGTTATCCCATCCAGTTTGTTATTCTGAATTTTCCCTTGGTGGCTGTGTTCCTTTGATTTTTGTGCCGTGAAGCCCTGGAATGTTTAGAATAGAGAATAAACATCGGCCAGAGTAGCAAGATTTTATCATTTCTAAGACTGGGCATCACCTTTCCTGAGCAACAAGCTTTGTAGCTCGTGTTTGCACTTGTTAGCCAGTAGTTCCTAGAGCCGGTGTCTCTTTGTGGATCCTTGATTCCTTACAAGGGCTTGGGAGCTTTCCTGAAGCCTTGTACAGTAATTAGTTAGCCATGTAAGCAAACTGTGGAGCATGCATTGATGATTTGGAAAGAGCTAAGTTTCTATTTCTTGGAAGCATCAGCTTGTGATGTTTTAACATAGTTTTCATCAGACTTTTTTCTGTGTAAATAGCAAGTATTATTACTCTGTAAATAAGTGCAGAGGTGGTGTATGTGACCATCTTCCTAGTACAGCATGTGGATGTTCGGCTCTTTGGATCAGGGTCTAGCTGCCTGCCTAGGTTTGTGCAGAGCCTGATGCAGGGCAGGTTGTTAGAGCTACTCGCTCAGCACAAGATATGAGGCAAAACTGACTCTTGGTATAGTAACTGTCACAATATTTTTCAAGGAAGTTTCTACATTCAGATCAGAAATTAAGCCAGTTAATTTTAAAATGTAGTCTATGGATAGGAGACATATGTGGAGCATAACTATCATAACTGGATATTTTGCAATGAGGAGATGCTTCTAGTTCAAGAATAAAAAGGAGCGATGCCACGTGTGAGGTATAATTACCACTAAATACTAAGGAAAGTCTGTTTGTACCCACTGCATTCTGGAAATTGTCAGAAGTCCTCCATTAAAGGTTTTCTGTTTGATGCTTCTTACTCAGATGGCGTCTGGAATGTAATGATTTTTCTACTCCCTGGGTCTTTATGTGGAACTAATAAACTGGCATACAGTGAGTCCAGATAAAACACTAAAAGAGAAAAGGTAGGAAGAAACACTGAGGTTATGCAGGTCTGTAGATCTTTCCTAGAATATTCTTTTAGCTTCAGATGGTGGTATCTTGTAGAAAAAGTACAGTGTTTAAAAAAAATTGACAGCCTTGAAGATCTGCAATATAAGAGAGAAAAAAGATGATTAAGAGGACTTAATGGCTTTTAAACCTTCACTAAACCAGCTGAGTTTCTTTAAAAATCAGTGATAGTTGATATGAACTCAGATCAACTTTGATTCCTGAATTTGAACGGTAGCACAGATCTCTTGGAGCTTGTAACATGCAGGAGACTCTTAGTGTAGGTGAAAACTTAAAGATGGCATTATGGAGGAGATTAAAAAGCAGGCAAAATAGTTTTCGAAGTATTCTTTGAAAGAGGTGACAAATTTTGGGGAGCCAGAAAAGCCAGCACTAGGTAGAATTAGCTAAACCTTGGAAATTGCAATCCGAATAACATTGACTAATTTTTTTTTAATCTATTTTTGTTTCATAGGGATGCGGTAAAAAAATGTACACTTTTTTGAGGGGGACAAAGCAATTGCAAGTGCTGAGATTTCTAGGAATCTCTATTGGAGTAACGCAGATCCTGGCTATGATCCTCACTATTACTTTGCTGTGGGCTCTGTACTACGACAGAAGGGATCCTGGGGCAGATCAGATCATGGCCCTGAAGAGTGATACCTCACAGCAGCTGTCATGTCATTCTGTGGAGCTACTAAAACCAAGCCTGACAAGGATCTTTGAACATACATCCATGGCAAACAGTTTTAATACACACTTTGAAATGGAAGAGCTATAGGTGATGTGATGAGTCTGAGAAGTCACTAAGGATTTTTACTGGGTTTTGTTGTTTTTGTTCTGTTCCGTCAAGTATGCCAAGTATACCAGTCTTCGTATGCTTCAGAAAACAGTGAATGAATGGATGTGAAGGAGGCCAGCATAGAAAAAATAATAGCCCTGTCAGCCTCTTAGCCATGGCCTCAAGCATAAAACAGAGTTGGTTTTGTTTGGTTGATTTTTTTTTTTTTTTTTATTAAAGGCACTTGTTCACTGGGCACAGTAATAATTAATTTATTGTCACAAGCTATGTGATGTGTAAAATACTGATTCATTCACAGGTAGGCAGACAACCTCTAAGGAAGCATCACAGGAAAAGAAGAAAAATACTCATCTTCTGAAGAAACGACTCTGCTTTGGACAAAAAAAATGTGACTTCAGTTGAAATTGACTTTTACATTTTTAATAAGCCATTTTGCAAATGTCTTAATCAGGGATCTATGTATATATAATTGTGTGGTTTAGTGTGCATGGAAAGCAGAACTACAATTCAAGTCAATACTTGAATTGCAAGTTGTGTAAAAAGAGCGAGATTTTTCTTTTTTTCTAACAAAACCTTTATCTTAGCTGTTATTGTTAAAGATGTTCTAAAACTATTTTTATCTAACATAACTGTTTAATTTTTAATTTTAAATATATTAAACAGGGATTGAAAACAAAACTATAACTCTGGACAATAGACTTAAGTCTTTTTGAGTAATTCTGGAGAATTCTTGTTTGAAACATTTTGTTCTATGGACTGTTTCTTACTGAAAAGAAAAAAAACTTTAAACATTCTTTCCAAAATGGGAATCAATATGGGATTAGCACATTTTTATAGATACATCTTTTCTCCTGTGATTCCCCCAAAGGTAGAAACAAAAGACTACAAGGAAAATGCTTACAGTTCTGGATGCTGTGGCAATAATTGTAAAAATACATAAGGAGGAATTATATTTTAGTGACTTCTTCATTAAGAGGTCTCTAGTGGCTTAAAATGCCAACTGGAAACAGCGTTAAAATGTATTTATTGAGGTGGGGAAAGTGCATTTTACTGTATTTTTATGAACAATGTTTATTTCATAGGATTATTTTTACAATTGGCCACGCTCCTGAAATATATATTTGTTCCACTGAGTTACAGTAGTTTGTGGCATTGTGGCAAATGGGTTTTTACGTAATATTACATTTTAAAAAATTTCCTTTGTTTTGGAATTTGTAAAAGAAAAGAAAAAAAAGGCAAGGTGTGATTTGGTAGACAATAAAATTACTTTTGTCTTAAATTCCATAATGACTTTTTTATTTTGAAGTCCTGGAGCGTGAATGCTTTGGGTGGGAGTTGTGAGGGTCCTCCTGCTAGTGAGAGTTAATTTGATGGGTCTTTACCTATTCTACTTATTCTTTTGCAGAGAAACTGCATTGTGAATTTCATTTTCTTTTTTTATTGCTTCTGAGAAAGCTTCTTAAAGGCTCATGAAATTAAGCTTTTCGGTTGTGTGGGCTGTTTGTTTTTTAACAGTCTGTGTGTGGGTGTAATTATTTCATGGGTAGTATTGCAAGCAAGATTACCTTTCTGCTTTTGTACCCCTCCTACAGATGCTAATACTTATTGAGTTAAGAAAAAGGCTAACAGATAGACCTTCCCAAAACTTTGCTTGGAGTATCTTTGTCAAAAATATTTTCTTTTGCACTGTTTGGGAAGCCTTGTGCCCAGTGATACTGCACATGCACAGCAGACTTCCATCCTTCCTGCTGCTCAGCCTGGGCAGCGTTGCCATAGCTAAGGGCAAGGGTCCTTTGTAGAGAAAGAGGTGTCCCAGAAAGATGTAGACCTGCTCTAGACTTCAGGGTGCTACAGAGGCCTGTGATGCTACAGAGTGAGATTGAGTCATTGGGTTTTTTTCCCTGTTTAAAAAAAAAAAAAAAAGCCAAACAAAACCACAAACTGTGGAATCTTTTGATTGTGGATTTCATGGATTGCATGTATACAGCTACATTCAGCTGTGAATTACAGCTGAATGTAGAGTATTTCACCAAAACTAATGGAAAAACAGAGCAGGATGAAGTCCTGCCCTTTGTCTCAGGAAATCCTGACGGTTAAAGTTTTAAAGCTCCCTTGGCCATGCTTCAGCTATCCTGAGTCCTGCCATGGGAGGACGTCCCAGGCTACCAGTGAGGGTTGCTTGTACATCTTCTTGTCTCCAGGTTAGAGCTTGTGAAGGAACAAAAACAGCAAGGTGGGCTAGGGAGATTCATTGAAGTTCATAGCTAGAATTAGAGACACTGACAGCCCAGGTCATTTTGTTTTAGGTTTCCCAGGCGGTGAGGAAGTGCTGGCATTAGGTGTAGTCAGTTTATTTTAAGAGCAGAGGGATTGTTTGGGGCAGGGCTCCTTTGATACAGGACCAACCTCCCAGACCAGTGTTTGTAGACCCCCACATCAGTGATCATCCATGGTCAGGGTAATTCCACTTGGGCTTGACTACCCAAATGCTGAGCCAGTCCACATTCAGAATGGGGCTAATTTCATTAGGGGAAAGACCCGCATGTTGGGAATGATAAAAATATTCCCTTCCCTAGTAAGGACTACTCAGAAGTGTTGTGGGAAAGAATGCTTCTATTTTGACCACATTTGCTGAAACAGGTCTTGGCTGTAAATTGGAACACTTTAAAACTTTTTTTTTTCTTTCACTGTCCTCAGGCTATGAGGTGTCTCTGATTTTCTAGGGCTTGTTCAAAGAGCCTTAAAATTGACTGACTAGGCTGCTTTGAGCGTTTTTTTCCTGTAGAGCTCTAGGATACATGTAGGAGAGAGGCTGCTTGGCAAGAGGGGAAGGTTTAGAGATACTTGCAGCAGTGAAAACTACTTCATTTGCAGGAGTACCTAGAGAAGGGTGTTATGTTCTTTCTTCTCTGCAGCATAAACTGTATTGAAACAAATCTTTCTTGTTGCAGCAAACAACTGTGGAACTGCTCCTTAATGTATTTTACAGATCACTTGATGTTGAGGAGAGCAACTGTGTTAGAAAACAGGTCACCCCCTGCCTGAATCAGGTGTGTCTGTTAAGCCCAGTGAATCATGAGGAGTCTTGTGGCTCTCTGCCTATAGCTGTGGAGCCGATTAAGGTTTGTACCACACACTCATGACTTGGGAGTATGGAAATGCTTTTAGGAGGCAAAATTCACTATTCCTGATCTTTGGAAAAGTATTGCCTCATCTGCCAGCAGGTTGTATGACGGCTTTCTGTCTATGTTTTTTGTTCTTTATAACAGTTCATTTTGTAAAAGCAATCCATAACTATAAGGGACTATATAAAGAATATATAGTAAAAAGACAGGCCGTTGGTCACAGTGACTACATAGTTAAATAGGATGGAGTAGGTGATTTTCAGATAGGTTTTGAAGTACCACAAAAGCATTGTATTGGGTTTGTGTGACAAGGTTTTGGTAGCAGTGGGGCTACAGGAGTGCCTTCTGTGAGAAGCTGCTAGAAGCTTCCCCATTTCCGATAGAGCCAAGATGGACCCACTGCTGGCAAAGGCCCAGATCATCAGTGACGGTGGTGGGGCTTCTGTGATAACAATTTTAAGAAGGGGGAAAAAACTGCTTCACAACAGCAAGCGGAAGAGAGGAGTGAGAATACATGAGATAAACAGCTCTGCAGACACGCAGGTCAGTGAAGAAGGAGGGGGAGTTGTTGCTCCAGGCTCTGGAGCAGAGGTTCCCCTGCAGCCCGCGGTGCAGCCCGCGGTGAGGCAGCTGTGCCCTGCACCCAGGGAGGCCCATGGCGGGGCAGATCTCCACCTGCAGCCCAGGGAGGACCCCACGCCAGAGCAGGCGGATGCCTGAAGGAGGCTGTGACCCCGTGGGAAGCCCACGCTGGAGCAGGCTCCTGGCAGGACCTGTGGCCCCGTGGAGAGAGGAGCCCACGCTGGAGCAGGTTTGCTGGCAGGACTTGTGACCCCGTGGGAGACACACGCTGGAGAAGTGTATTCCTGAAGGACTGCGCCCCTGGGAGGGATCCACACTGGAGCAGTTCATGAAGAACTGAAGCCTGTAGGAAGGAATCATGTTGGAGATGTTCACAGAGGACTCTGTCCTGTGAGAGGGACCCCACGCTGGAGCAGGGGAAGAGTGTGAGGAGCCCCCCACCCCCCAGTGAGGATGAAGGAGTAGCAGAGACAACATGTAACAAACTTGACCACAACCCTCATTCCCCATCCTCCTGTGCTTCTGGTGGGAGCAGGCAGAGATACCTGGAGCAAAGCGGAGCCTGGGCAGAAGGGAGAGGTGGGGAAAAGGTGTTTTTTAAGATCTGGTTTTATTTCTTATTATCTTACTCTGATTTGACTGGTAATAAACTCCCCAAATCAGTATGTTCTGCCCATGATGGTAATTGGTTAATGATCTCTCCCTGGCTCTATCCTGACCCACAAGCTTTTCATTACATTTTCTCCTCTGCCCAGCTAAGGAGGGGAGTGAGAGTGGCTTTGGTGGACACCTGGTATCCAGCCAGGGTCAACCCAACCATAAGCATTATATTTAATCCATGTGAATTGATATTATTGAAATTAAATTGTATCTAAAACTTTAAAACTTGTGTATGATTGACTATGTTTCTTTAAAAAAAATTGTGATGTCCTAAATACTTGAAAATTTTTGTGCATCTATTTGCTTTTTATTCAGTTCTCCCATACCTTCAGTTGTTTCTTGTGCATAGGTATTGTGAAAACGGCTACCTTAAAAGTGGATAAATAGATAATGCAAGAAAGAAACTAAGCTGTCCAGATAATTATATATATCTTACAGGCTTTGTCAATATAAATATGTTGTTCACTCCTAACTGCTCTTTTAGCCACAGATTTACATATCCCATCAGCTGATTGCTATTACAAAACATCTGGTAATCTTCAGATGTTTCTATGGTCAATGGATAAATAAAGTCCTGGTTCACCTCAGATGCAGGAAAGAGCACACGACCTTCTAGGCACCCTCCCTGCCCCAAACTTAATGATCCTGTGATTTCACTAATTTATCCTCCTCCAGACTAGTTTCCTGTCTGAAAGCCACCCTTCTCCCGGGAGCAGCTGAGGTGGCACCATGCTCTCCGCTGAGAAAGCCTTCTCTCAGGCAGTGTGTTTCTGTAGCAAGTACATGCAAAACCTCAAAATGTAAAGTGTACATTTTCAGTTTGTCTCCTGTAGCTATTTTATGGAAGGACAGTTGTTCTCCTTAAAAATGCTCTGGGGTGGTTGCCAGGCAGGTATTACTTTTACCTGTCCCCCTCACGCCAGAGCAGTAAGCTCCTGGCAGAGGTGGCCTTCATGTGTGTCAGTGCTACAGTATACACAGCTGATCGATCAGCATCATCTGTGCTGCCAGTTGCCCTTGGTGAGTGATAACAGTCTATTGTTAACCACTGTTAGGCTACGAAAGGAGTTTGATCTCATCCATGCACTAAGATTTTATCAAAGGATTTTGATATAGGGTTTGAGAAGATTCTGTAGCCTGGGAGGTTCATCAGACCTGTTGCTGTCTGTGTGGAAAACAGCAAATACTTTTTTAAACGTACAGATGAAGAGGTAGAGTTTATATGGCTGGAAATAATATATTGCCCCAATTTTCTCTGCTGCTGCAGGCTGGGAAGGGAAGGGTGATGGCCTCTCACACAGGGGAAAGGCAGCTCTGTGTTACAGAGCTGCAGCATCCTGGTCTTGGTAGCTCTGGTATGGTTTAGATGTGCTCATGGGTTGCCTGAAATTAGTGCTGGGGACATTTGTTGCCCTCAGATTGTGCTCCTTCAATCTTAGGGGAAAAAGAAGTTTCATGAATAAGTTATTGCAAAACCAGGTTGACCCATTCAAGCATGCAGATGTTTTATTTAAATATTCCTCAAATGTCTATTTATTCAGCATAATGCATGTATTATGCTGCCTTCTGAAATACGATATATGACTGTCAAACAAAATTGTCAAAACAACCACCTCGGTTTCTTTGTATGATACACAGAAATAATTACATTTCATGTACAGTACAGATGCATTTTACACAGTCATCAACAGTCATTCACTACCAAAACAGCATTTAAATCACCTAAAACACCAAAAGAATGTGTATTTCCCAAATTCAGAATAAATTAATGATTTTTCATGTGACACGGAAATAAAAGACAGGACTAGAATTCTGCAAAATCATATTAAATTATTCCATAAGCTGCATTTTAAAAATGAAAGTACAAGTTGCTTCAGGGGTATAACTGTCATGCAAGTGTATTGCTGTAGTGTTTTCTTTTTAGCCCATATGAAAAGGAGAATAAACGGATTTTAAAACACGTGACCTTACAAAGTCAGTAGGTTTCCTGGGTTGTAAGTAGTTTGTCCCAAAGTGGGTTTATTAACTGCCTTTTTGCATTATTTACCTGATATAACTAGTCAAGAAGTTGTTACTAATATCAAGGCAGTTTTTATATCAGTAACTCTGGCAAAAGGTGGGGATCAAGCCATTTTCTGTGTGAGTAATCATGGGTAGAAGTAGGATGCAAGTGAAAATTCTGGGTCCATTCTGCCTCTCTTTTAAGCCCCATTAAAACTTTGGTAACCCACCAGCATCAGCAGATCTAGTGCTATTTTCCAACAGTGTAAAAGGGAGGAGAGCAAAGTCAGTTTGCAGAGTTCCTCAGAAGGAGCCCTCTTCTGGGTTAGAGGACAGCCTGCACTTCTGCTCTCTGTTAAGGTTTGAAAGAAATGTAGAAGCTCAGTTTACAGTGAGTAGGTTATTGTGATTTGCAGAAGAAGTGGGAAGTTAACTGCAAAGTAACCAAGCTTCTGAATAAGTAAACGATAAGAGAGTAATGCATGGCATCATATACTCCTTTTAATTGCAGTTTAATATGTGATGTTGTATTTTGGTGTATATACTGTAGCATGATAGTCCATCATCCACTTTTCAATCTCTATTGACAGGTAGAAAGACCAGTATTTGTATGTAGTAAAAAGTATTATCAACAAGTTTCAGTTTTTAGTGGGTGTTTTCTCTTAATGTAAATTTTTATGTCAGTAGAATGCTAGCAAATACTGTACTGAAACATATACTACTCAAACTATTAAATAACTGTGTTAATCATTTATTGTAATGGCATCTAATGCACTGAGCCTTTTGATTTATATGCATATTTTATTTTGCAGACATGCAATTATTTCTGATCCAGTGTTTTTCATGTATATATGTATGTATCAGTATGCACATATTCCATGTATATTTGATGTATATGATGTGTGGTATGCCATGTATATAGGAAGCATTATGATACATCTCCTAATGCACTCTCATGAAGAAAAATTACACTTTTTATCAGAAAGGTTTCTGGTAACATCAATGTCTTTTAAAAATGGAGCCAAAACCCCTTAACTAGTGGAGCCTTCATATTAGCTTTTAGGCCTGTCCATGTGGGTAAATTCCAATTGATATAAATTATATTTTTATAGTGTTAGGACCCAATCCATTATTCTATCAGTATTCTTAAATTCTCAAAAAAATTTTAGGATGCAAGTTTACAGACAACTACAAAAAGAGCTTTGCAGTCTTTTTACTGAGTATCTTTTGGTGTCTTCCAGTGTAGCCAATACTCTGGATGCTGCAGAATGTCAACAAGGAAGGTTTGGAGATAAGTGTTAGCTGATCCCAAAAACACCTTTATTGTAATTTTAATTCAAATAGGATTGATCCTGCAAGAGTACACTGGGAAGAGAGGTTTGTTCTGCAAATACAGAAGACGACAAAATGTCTACAGAAGAAAGGACTGTGTTGATTCATCAGTAGCCTTGAAATCCCAAATAGTACAGTAATGTTGGAGTGGACAACAAACTGTCATAGAAGTAGAGGGCAGTGGACGAAAAGAACAATAATTGAATAGTGCATTGGTGGTGTTTGGCTGTAAAATTATTTAAATGTTTGCCATTAGAAGTTTATAGTGTAGATGAAGTTGTTTAAAATACTTTAAAAAAAAGAAATCCTGATTCCTGATACAACAGGTGTACAATGACTTATTGCAGTTGTAACAGTACCTAGGAAGCAAGGTAAACCAATAGTAAATATTGAACTAACTGAACACCTTTAGTTCACTAATGAGTGTTTGAATAAGGAATACTGCATTTTTCAAAGGGAAGTTATTTGTACAACTACCATGAAACATTAACAATCAGTTTGTTGTAAGTGCACGGAAATGCCCCTTTCTACAGTAATATTTTATCATGCCTAATCTGAAAAACAACAAAAGTAAACTGAGATCACAGCTCCAAATAATCAGCATGCATTATGGTTGTAGTTTCAGTCAGTACAAACATATTTCATATGAGCGTTTTTTCTTTCATTTTTTGATAATTTCTCAACAAGTTTGTGGTTTATTAACAGGAAAAAAAAAGACACGTTATCAAAATGTTTCTTGTTTTGCATTCAGCAGGAACACAGGTTTGTTTCTATTTTTGTTTTGCATTTTTTTTTTTCTAAAAAGAGCTTTCATGATAAGAAGAAGCATCAATGGGGACATTTCATTGTGCTCATAAAGTAAGTCAGGATGGTCACAGAAGATTCCACCACGTGTCAGTTTGGACAAAGGGTAAGAAACTCCTTTTGGTTCACACGCTATGACATCGAAACCCACAGTGTGTTTTGTTTCTCCTGACCCTCTCGCTCTGTGGCCGCTGGCGAACACGTCAAAGGGTGTTGTCTTTGTCAGCTCTCTCATTCCTCGTGACTCATTTCTCACTGCTGGAGCTCAGCTTGCAAGTGGTCTTTATGCTAATTTATAAATAATGCCTTATTTTATAAAGCAGATACTCTGACAATGTTTCCTCCTGAATACTCAGGAGACTCTGGCCTATCATCTCCTTCAGGTGTGGTGACTGGAGGTGTTGGGATACTAATTATTGCTGTAGTGACGTAAGGCTGCTCACAGTTTAGTTTAACGCACTCTTCCACTTTGGCATTTAAGCTGGAACGGCTGGAGGAAGAAACAAAAATCCATGAAGAAAGAATATCCACGCTTCTTCAAACTTCTTGTATGCCTGAACCTACTTCCTCAGCTAGCCATCTCTATCCTGCTCAGTTAGAGAGCTCAGAGGTGCAAAGCACCACCACCCCGCACCCTGGCAGCTAGTGGTCCATGACTATATCCATGGAAAGGTCCCCTTTCTCCCTTCCTTCCTACCACTTCAGCAGTTCTAAAAGTTTCTCAGCCCATCACCCAAGTGTTTCTGAACAGGAGAGGTGTTTGAGCAAACTCGGCATAGCCGAGTGACTTGCTATGCAGGAGAGTGGAAACTAAAGGGCAGTCCCAGACTCCTCCACACCATGCTTATTTAAAAACATTTTCTATGTTCTGTATCCTCAGTAGTAAGGCACTATTATATAGGCACTAATTAGGGCTGAGTTAACATGTTTGTGGAGTTGCTGCAGTACCTCAGCATCATAAGAAACTTGTAGAATGCCATTTTGAAGCGAGACGGGCATTTTGTGCTTGTGTTTTTAGCTTAGCTTGTTTTCTAGCACAAAGCTGGTGCATTGCGTTTTTATATATACTCTGTCACTGTAAGTATGGTGCAGAGAAAGGATGGATCCGGGCAGAATATTTCCTGAAAAGCTAAAACAGATTGGAGCTTTGTGCTGGCCAGGACGTCTCGCTACACAACAGCAGAAAATCTTCAGTATCTACAAGCTGCTGTTCATGGAAGTGCAATCCAAACCCGGTAACTATACAAAACAAGCTACTCAAAATGTAACTTAATGAGGCAATCTCTATAGAAAGTAGTGCTGAAAATGCTTCTTTTTTAAATGGTGGCATGTTTGACTTCAATAGGAAACACTTCTGAGTCTCCTGAGACCTTGCTGTGCTTTCAGAGATGATGTTTTCATATACCTGAAAGCCAACTGGTTTACTTGTGAGAGTACAGAGATTGCAGTCAATTACAGACTCTTAAGCTGCACTTTCCTCACTTTTGTAATAACTCCTCACACTAGGAATTACATTTTTCTTATCCATTTAATATTTTTTAATTAGAAGAGTCTTTCTTTTGACTATTACACTTAGGACTCTGGGAATCAGTTTTATTTCTCTGCTCTGTGGAAATGTGAGGAAGTCTCATCTGTTCTATACTTCTGAATCAAACCAGTAGAAACAGCAGGGACAGACCTTTCTTGCTCTTCCCACTTGCTCATCTTGTATATCTGAATTGCACTTTTTTCTGTGCTAAATTTTTCTTGTTATGTGTTTGTCCATGGCATATAATATTTGTTGCTCTATTTAATTTGGGGTCCGTGGATGCTCTTCACTGCAAATAGCACACAGTAGTTTGTGGGGAGGGTGTGAGAGGGCAGAAATGGTTGTAAAGAGACTATTCTGTTATCTTGGATTAAGCTTGGAGCAAGCAAATGCAGGATGGTTCAGTACTAGTATCCATTTTTGGATGACTGACTTTCATTTTTAGCCTGACAGCCTACCTGCAGAGGCCACACCACCTCTACATCTCTAACAAAGAAAGGGGCTTCAGCTCTTGGTGTGCTGGTGCGTGTGAAGTACCTGTTAGACAGAGGCGTCCTCTCCACACATCTGATCTGGATGGTGCTGAGCTCTTGTACACTGCCTGGACGGCTGCCAGTGATGGTGGTGTTTGGGATGCGGTAAGTCTTTTTATGTCTTCGTGAGCAGCAAGTGCTGGTAACACCTTGTTGAGATGAGAGAGAGGGGCTGTGGCTGGGGGGTCTGTTGACTGTGGAAACCTCCATACAGCTTTCTTCATAGACTTGCTCATCCACAAACTCATGATTCTAGGCCAGAGGAATCCAACAGTGGGACAAAGCACACACAGAAATATAATTAAAGTGAACATATTAATCATGATTCTTTAAAGGCTCAAATTGGCACAAATGAATAAACTGGGAAAGTTAAACAGCTTATTCTTGATTATATTGTTTAGCCCATATTAGCCTGGGCTGAATACCAATACAAATGTAAACGTTGGAACAAAACAGTCAGAGCTCTAAATAAGAAAATGTTAATCCAAATTATTTTGTAAAATAGCATGTGATTGTAATGTAGTTTGCATTATCTGTATAATCTATGAAGTGCCACAAAATAGAGGATTATGTTTATTAATAAAAATGGAAGTGGTGCTTACGTAAATTCTCTAAATGTTATTTGGAAACAAATAAGATTTATTATATTGACCTAAAATACAATAAAACTCATAAATATTTTTCAGATGAGTTTATAAAGCTTTCTTTTGAATTACATGTTAGAAACCAGGATCTGAAACAGTGTGTTTCAAGGTATGCATTTATGTGAAAGAAAAGATTCACTCAAACAGAAGTTTTGATTAGAGGAGATGAGGTGATTAAATATGTAAAAGCATCCAAAAAGTTCCTAATTACTGTAGATGGATGTATCGAAAGCAGTTTAGAAGACTGAGCATTTAGTTAAATGAAGTACTCTTTATTCATGCAATTTTTGCTTGATCCCAGCATAGACACAGCAGTTTTGCAGGGTTGTCATAGAGCTGAATCCAAATTCACACAAACTGATGGTTTACGTTGACTTAGTCGGTGATTAGGGAGTGTTTCACACACAGATGTGATTTCCACATTTTATTTGTGTGCGAAAGAGTGTGAAATAGTGGTGTAGTGGTGTTGCTTATAGGGGGAGGGGGGTGGGAATTTTTACAGTAATTTTAAAGTAGTAGCCCAAACCAAGCAGAGACTAAGATGTGCTCATGTGTAGTTTGAGAAAGCCTCCTTTTTAAACAAAATCTTTCCAGTTACTGCTGGAATCAATCTACATATCCTGAGGATGGTTTAGGGAGCATGTTCTTGATTGTTTTACACTCAGTTTCACTCACTTCAAATTTGTTAGCCTCCTGCATATCTGTGTATGAGAATGAGAAAAAAGATTTTTCCCCCTAAAGAATAATGCATTAATTGCAAAAGTTGCTGATGTTTTTCAGAATTACAGTACAGTGCTAAGATAAAATGCGCGAACAAAGCAAATAGAGTAACAACTGTGGCCAAGTGCGACAAATGGAAATACCTTTATAGGCATATTATTATTTCCCTTTCTTCTGTTCTTCACTCAGACATAAATTTGTGTGGAATTGAATGGTGTTGAAAAATGCCAATTTCAAGTGATATGGAAAGAAAGAACTTGCCTGAAAATTGACTTCTATGAGGCAGACTAAATTCATAAAATTCAGTGGACATAAAATTCAGAGAAAAATGACCTAATTGCCATCTTTAGATTACATTCAGTGTCTTGCAGTATGTTTGCCAAGAACTCCGCTAGTTTTCTGATTAAAAGTAACTTTGTGCATCCTAAAGCTTTTATGGAGCAACCAATAAGAATTCAATTTGTAGGATCCATTAAAGAGGGTTATTGAGTGACTTTTAATACAGACTGGAAACATTTTGAAATTATATAATGTCTCAAGTTAATAGATTTAATTATACTTATTAATTAGCTGTTTTTAAATTAGCTAAAAGTAGCCTATAAAATATAACTTTCAGTGCAATTGTGTTCATTATTAATATAATTTTCACAGAATTCCATAACATTGCCCACTCTGCATTTCTTAGAGTGGAAGAGTTCTTATTCTGCTGACTTAAAAGTGTTGGAAAAGAGGAAATATATCTTTGCTTATTATCATCTGGACTGATGCTTATACCAAATGATATTTCAAAGGATCCTGAAAGGCTAAGAAGATACCTCACCCTTGCTGTTATACCATGAACCAGCAACTTGACATATTCCACAAACTGATGCCCCAAAATTTCAAGTTCTCACTAATATTTTAGGAATGCATGATCTGCAGAATACAACTTGGAACTCCTAAATACATTTTTGTGTTCATGTGCCAGTAGCAGGACCCAATAAATAAGGGAAAGAGAAAGTAGATTATATGCATATTCAGGAAACAAGATAATACTTCATAGGCATTCTTTTTTTTTAAAAAAAAAAAAAGAAAAAAAAAAGAAAAGGCTTACATATTCCAGCATTATGATTAGAGGAAAAATGAAACTTTGGGAGCCAAATCCAACTTCCACCAAACGAATAGGAATTTTTTTTTCATGATTTCTATGAAAGTTTGACAAGACCTGTGGCTACTACTAGGGTTTTAAAATATGTTTTTAGTGTTCAACTGTGGAACAATTTTTAAGACAGATTGCTATTATCGGGTTCTAGTACAAAATGTCTCAAAAAATGTTCCAAAAGGACCCAGCCTGAATCTTGGCAAAGAAACCACATTATACTCTGAATAGGAAGCAAGATATTTTGTCCTACAGCACATTATATAAAAATGAATACTCCAAAAGAATGGAGGAGACATAAGCACCTTTGGGGTGACATATTACTAGGTGATGTAACAACTGTGTCATTCTCTTTACAAAGAAATGCTGTTGAAAGGAGAACATTAAATTATACATATATATACAGAATAATCTCCCCAGTGAAGTGGTGGATTCCCAAATATTGGACACTTTTAAGATCCAGCCGAGCAGGGTGCTGGGCCGTCTTGTCTAGATCGTGCTTTTGCCAAGAAAGGTTGGACCAGATGATCCTTGAAGGTCCCTTCCAAACTCATATTCTATTATTCTATGAACATATTTTAATTTAGCAATGTCTGTTGTGGGAAAACTTTTTAATCTCGTTCATTTTTGAGACAGAGCAGAAAGACTTTCACACTATTCATCAAATATAGCAGAAGCATTACTGGGTCTTTTAGTGGAAATCTAAAAGTAGACTATAAAGGTAAGACAAAAAAGCATAAAGATCCTCTAGGTATACAAAACTTAAAGAGAAATAATATTTTTTACATGCAACTGGAACTTACATAACTAGATGTAAATTTGTAAATGGTTGTTTAATGGATATTGACCAATTTGCCTACAACGTTAAGGTAAATTCTACATGACATTATAATCCCCACAAAAATATAAAAATACAAGGAGATAATTTTAGCGTGCCCTATGTGGAATTCCCAAACATACAAAGATTAAATTCAATATAACTAATGTTTATGTTCTTAGTTTCCTTAGGAAATGATAAAAGAGGAAACAACATAAATTTAAGGATTATTAGGATTATTGCTGTGATGTTATCTGTCCAGAAATATACTGAGTAACCATGGCACTTAGTTATTACTGAATCATAACTCTGCTGTAGTTTACTATCCTTTATGGTTGTATAATTATTCAGGTATTGAACAGGGAAAAATATAGAGAGGACATAATAAGTAGTCCTTCTGATCTATAGGGAGTTCCAAGTCTGGATGAGCATATTTGGGCTGTTGTGAATTACATCAGTGATTTCTATAGGTATATCAGTGTCACAAGACTTTGAACCTTTCCATCTGCATCTAGATTAAGCACTTGAAGTTGCAAAATAGGATGCTTGGGGATCCTCTTTTACAGTCACTTCAGTGAGAATCTCATTCGTGTCCGAGGAAACACTCAGCAGCTCTCCCTGTACAAAAGCCCTACGTTTGCTCAGGCAAAAACTTGCTTTGACTGCACTAAGTGTTGAATGCCTACGGATAACAAATTGTGTTTTATGAACTGTACTGCAGAAAAGTGCAAGTGATAACATTATAGAGTGTATGAAATCCATACTGAAGGTCACATGTACAGTTTGCCTATACTGTGACATCATCTCACTGATGCCAGTGTTTTTCACCCTAGATGAGGCTCTTATCCAGGATCTCTCCGTTATTTATATGCAGTGGGTATAATGCCTTATTAAAATAAGATAAAATGGGTTTTCTTCCTGGCTAACTGCTTTCATATAAAGGCTTATTAATTAGAAGAAATAACTTAAAATGTTCAAAATAAGGCTGGGGTTGGAATTCACAGGAAAATACATCTCTCTCTTCTTACCGTAGTTTTTTCCAGACAGTGAAGCAGGTGGTGGTGCTGAGTTTCAAAGGAAGAGCCAGATTTGCTAACAAAGGCCTGTTCTTCTTCAGTGGAGGACTGTTAATACATAGAACTCCATATTATTCTCATTTGTGAAAAAGAGGGCTCTTATCCAAATATTTGGTCAGAACTAATCTGGATTGTACATGGTAGCATAACTGCAATGCTTCATCTATACACTATAACCCAAATTATTTTGGACCTGAGTTCTCTTTTGCTTGTTTGTTTTTTAATCAAAATAGTTTCTTTCCTTCCCTTACACCTCCTTTAAAATGTTTGCATCTTAGGTCTTTTGTGCATAGATGGAATAGTACAATTTACAAGTGCAATCAACCTGTAAGCTTTGAATGTTTAATCAATGCATACTTAAAATTAACATAAATTTAAGTGACAGTAAAATATTTTTTTTTCCTGGGAATGTGCCTCATTTGAAGGAAATTAAACATAGTTGTCCTCCTGGGATAATTTCATAGCACTAAAGAATTTGTGGTATTTCTGCTTACACAAAAATTCATGTCAGTGATCCCAATCTGCTGAGTTTGGAAAGCATATAGCAGATGTTACTGACACAGAATGAAGAATTAAGTAGAAAGCATCCACTGTTTATTAATTGCTTTCATAATTATTCACTAGAAAGCAGAAAACTAAATAGGGAGAAAGTGGGATAATAGGAAAGATTACAATTCAACTTTGGGATATTTGAAATCTGCATGGCAATTAAGCTATTTGGTGTCTTTGTAGTTCAAAGCTTTGAGTTCTTTCAAGCAGAAGAGGAAACGAGGGCTCTGACTGCTCATCTTTTGTGCTAGACAGGACAGACAGACAGCCCTCCTCCTCTTCTGGCTATAGGTTAAAGCATTCGGCTTTTTAACACATATTGAGCAGAAAGGGCATAGAGGAATGAAAGCCTTCCTGTATCCCTCAGGGAACTGTCTAAATGCCAGAAAATGGCAGGGATTGAAAAACACTGTGTCTCCAGTCCTTCTCAGCTGGCTATAGCTCCAAGCAGCCAAGGGGCTGTCTCTGGCAGCATGGGTCGCTGTGGATCCCAGTCCTAGACGCTGCCTGGAGCTCCCACCCCTGGTCCTGATTTCCTCAGCAGGGGTAAGGAGGGAGTCTGCTTCAGGTAACATTAGATTTCAATGCTTTTGAAATAATCACTGAGATTCTACTTAGAGCAAAGTAGGTGCTTCCAGGAAATGCTCTGCAACGCCCCTCTGTGCAAATGGTACCCCCAGAGAATTACCTCTTTCCCTCACTGATGATGAAGCCTGTTTTTGTCATCCATGTTCTACCTGTCTAAAACCAAATGAGATAAATCCAACATACCTCCTGAGAGGCAAATACTCTACTTTATTAATGAGGTCTTCTACAGAATCTAACTCGAAAAATATAGGTTACATTTGAACCCAGTATTTCTACCTGGCCATTTCCCTCATCTTTTAATACCTTGTCATCAACTCGTATAAGCTTCAATAATAGTAATAGTCCAGTTTATCCTTCCTTAAACTACCTCTAAAGATAACCTTGCCTGAAGACCCAAGCTGACTTGCCCTGGTGATAAATAGAATAAGATACTGCTGGGCTGTCATTAAGCTGTTTCTCTGGAGATGGAGAATATGAAAACATTACCTGCTGCAGCTGGTTACTCAGTAAGCCATTTCGTTTGCTCTGCATGTAGGCATTAGCACTCCCACTCTTTGCTGCACGAATTCGAGCCAGTCTGGCTTTCTGTGTAAATATACAAAAAGAAGCGTGTCACTTGTACTCATATCCATTATTCTGTTGATCTAAAACTGCTAATTGGAATCAGCTGCTTATGAATACCAATATCATAATGACTGAAAGGCTGCATTGCATCCATCCTCCAGGTGGAGCAAATCATGAGTGTCTTCCCATTTAAAATGCAAATTACAGAAGTTTGTATTTGTTTGAATGCATCAGCTAATATGAACAATGATTTTGGAGAGGGATTAGACAGATCAGCATGTAAGTGCCTCTTTTTTTTTTTTTTTTTCCACTGCTGCAATTGTGCCTCTTCTTATGTCTTGTGGGTCAGGAACATAGGCATTCATCTCTGCTGCTTCTGCAGTGAAAATCTCTTTAAAGGGGAATAAATGTTTCAGAAAAACCATAATATTACAGCTGCTGTGAGCTGGTTTCTCAGAGCCTTCTAGGTTTTTAAAGTAGCAGAATGTGGTAGTGGTTTTTACGCTGTCTTACAGCTAAATTCCTGAATGCTTGCCAGGTCTTTCAAAAGCCTTTTTACTTCTTCATTTCTGTTGGTATAATTAGACTTAATACTTGTCATCATTGGTCATAATCTATTCATAACCCGATTTTTCAGAGACTGCAGGCATCAAATTGCTGAGAGAGATTTGAGATTTCTCAGGTGAGCTTCATTGCCTGTGAAGGTGACTTTAATTCCAGAGTTGAAGGTAGCTCTCATCCCAGAGTATAAGGTGGCTCACAAGTGAAGGACACTTTGCGTCCACTTACTTTTGTACAGCATTTAGAAGCCAGCGTTAGGGGAAATCATGAATAAAAGACTCTCTCAACCAATAATATGGAAAACAGAATTTTTATGGGATTTCTAGGATGGCATCCTGCTTGTGTAATTTTGTGGCTGGTTACATGTATAAGGGTCAGTCTGGCTTTATTTTCACAGTTAGGTTTCTGATTCTGAAAGGCATATGCCGAGCATCATCTGGACTTGAATGGCTGCTGAAGCACAGAAGGAGATCCAGTGAAGAGCTTGAAAATGGACTTTGATATATTAATAAGAATTTTCATATCTGATAGTTACTCAGTTGATATTTTCAGAAAATCTTCCTCTCCTTCCCCCAATTTCTGTGGCATTAAATGTCAGCATGAAATGATTGAGATTCTCCGAACATTTATAGAGGGAAGCAGCCTGGACACTGCAGCCACCAGATCTCTCTGGCATGATTAATAATTAACTGACGATGAGGAATGGCTCAACACCATGCTGCTTTGCACTCACAACCTCAGATTCACAGATATTCTCAACAGTGAGCCAAGAAATTAATGACAACTAACAGCAAACATGGCTAGAATCTGGCTTATGTCATGTATTTATTATCTTTTAATTGTTCTGAAAGAAAATAAGATAATGCTGTGCATGTGTGCATCACTGAGTCAAAAAGCTCACATGAGAGGCTGTTGCCTTCCTTGGTGCAAGCAAATTTTCCAGCAATGCAGCTAACCTTGTTCTAGTGGTAAGGAGTGAAATGTCTGGGTCACCTGCAGAGATTAATTCCTACCTTCCCCACACTCCATCACCCTGAGCAGGTCCCCAGAGGCTGGACAGAGGGTATATGTCCAGTCAGGGCTGTTTCACTGATGACCAGCCCCGGGCAGCTCGGTGTGTTACAGAGAGCCATCCGATTGAGGCAATGCACTGGGCTGGCCTGGGGTCCCCAGGAGATGGCCAGTGTGGGGAACAGTCAACAGCTCCCACCCTCCATGCTCACACGGGCTACTTGATGGCACACCCAGGGCAATCGATGTGGCTAGGGCTGAGTCCTCAGGGCTGGCAATTAAAGATACCCTTGGGCAGACAGAAAATAGGTTATTTTCAAGGTGGAGCTCTTGAGATGCAATACCAGCATGGCAGTCTGAAGGCTGGGGGAAGAGATTTACCTGCACTGCAGAACAGTCATGGGCTGGGACTATGCACTTGTTTATGTTCATAAATATGTTAAAGGTCTCTCTTAGCACTACTGTTTAGCTTTAGTTGCTCAAGATGCTTTAGAGATTCCTTTGCACGGTGCAACATCATGGAGTACCATAAATAAGTGATTTCAGTCAGGTACTTTTCAGTGTGCTCTTTATACAGGGAGATTCATTAGGTTTAATGAACAAACGTTTTACATACATTAGTTATGCTTTTTCTTTTAGCATGCATATTCATTTTATCTTTCAGTGATTGAAGCAATAATTATGGTGCAGTACCATTTAATAAAGAAATATAAAAATATAACAGTTCATCAGACTATCTTAATATATCAATGTGCTGCAACATATATAATACGAAGGCGGTACTTTTCATGTGAAGATTTCAAATTACTTGGCAAATATGAATTTATTGCATCTTAGAAGGCTTTTGTGAGGTGGAATGTAATAGCTTACCTCTTTCTAGCTGAAACTCATTCAGATGGCCTGAATTTACATCATTTACCAGAGAGCCCATAAGTCTATTACCAAGACAGGAACCAGATATTGTGGCTTCCATACTTACACTTCAGCTTATAGAAAACACCGGAAAACTGGAGGGGTTTACAAATCTGTTAGAGTGATAAGATTTCTTTTCAGTGCTTCTGCCTGATGTATATCAGAGCCTGTAACACGAGTAGTTTTGTGACTCCTCACATTTCCTATCAAGGAATCATTAAAAGCTCATGTCAGCCACAGGATTCTAAAAGCTGTGTGCTGGGAATTGAATTCCCATGAAGGACATCAAAATGATGTGATGACATCAGGAAAACTGTGATTACAGAAGAACTGTATTTTCCTTTAGTCTGTGAACTGCATTCTCTGTCACCTACAACAGAATAGGAGTAATAACTGCCCCTTTCAAGCCCTGTAAAGCCCTTCGCAACTCTCCCCTTTCATGGAACAGCTAGCAAAATGAAGAAAGGATTAAGTTCTCCTGCAGTTTATCACCGTTGCTATGAGGTTTTCCCTGTTAGCCACTGAATGTGAAACTTTTTTTTTTTAAGAATTAATTTTATTAATTTTTATGTTGTCTAGGACAAAACCAATATAGCTCAAATACAGTTCTTTTACTTATTCTGATGCAATTCCACCGTAATAATCTAATCTGAAACTTCCTAAAGAAACTGATCATGAACTCTAATTCTTACTGCATCCCTTGTATTTGCACAGAACTTCTCTTTTGAATGAATTGGTTTTTTTCTAGCTTCAAATTTTACAACTTAGAGGTGGATCCATGTCTATGACTGCATTTATAGAAAACTTACAAAGGGAATTCACTCTTTTTCAACAACAGCTAGCTCTGTTTTAGAAATATAAACATTTATTTTCACAAGGTTTTAAATGGAGCTAAGTGTAGCACTGTGGTGTATTTACAACATTCAGCTTTTAACACTCAAGATGCCCTCAGCTGTCCAGCTGTTTTAAGAGACAGATTTTATCAGGAAGACTTTAAGGCAGGGCTTACTGGCAGTACTGGGAATAATATCTGGCAAGATCTTCTCTTCAATTTGCTATGCAAGAAGTCTGGATAGCCTACGTAATATAGTAGTTAGCTCCCGTTGTCTCTCTTGGGCTGCTCTCCAGACTACATAACAATCTTACCATCAAGACTCAAAAATCGCTAAATATTTAGCTTATGGGTGTTATTTTTGAATGGTCTTTTATGATTATATAAGAATTCCTTCACAGTCATTCTGAGTGTACTGGTTTTGGTTGGGACAGAGTTAATTTTCTTCATAGCAGCTGGCATGAGGCTATGATTAGGATTTGTGCTGAAAAGAGTTTTGATATCAGGGGAATGTTTTAGTTGCTGCTGGCAGGGCTTACACAGAGTCAAGGCTTTTTCTACTCCTCAGACTGTCCCACTGAGGAGGCTGGGGGTGCACAAGAAGTTGGGGGGGACACAGCCAGGACAGCTGGCCAGAGGGATGTTCCATACCATATGACATCATGCTCAGCAATAAAACTGGATGGAGGTGGAGGATGCCAGCAGCGGTCCTTGCTCTGGGACAGGCTGGGCATCAGTTGGTTAGTGGTGAGCAATTGTTTTCTTTTGCATCACTTTTTTGAGGGGTGTGTGGTTTTTTCCCCCCCCTCTCTTTCTGTCTTTTTTTTCCCTCCCTCCTTTAAAAAAACTATTAAACTGTCTTTATCCCCACCCATGAATTTTTGTACTTTTACCTTTCTGATTCTCCCCCGCCATCCTGCTGGGAAGGAGTGAGCGAGCAGCTGGGTGGTGTTTAGCTGCCTACCAGGGTTAAACCACAACACTGTGGCTCCTAGAGCAATGTCCAAAATTGTCCAAAAATCCTTCACATTGCTGTTTACATAATTTTTTATTTGTTCTTTCATAAATCCATCCTGTATGTTTCCTTTCAAGTGAAAAATCAAGCCTACATTTCATGCTCTGATTTTGTAATTTTTAGTAACTGCAAAATAATTGACTTCAGATTAATTGACAATAATTTATAAGATGTCAGCATGCAGTAGAGAAGAAAATGCTGTTTATTTTGTACATTAATGGATATGGAATTAGAGAAGGTTCGTATGTTTGTTCATTTGTGCCTTGCTTTCACAATCTATTCAAATTATTGTTCAGTAAACACAAATTTTACATGCTTTTGTGCTAAATGCAGAAATCTTGGGTAAGTTATTCTGTTAGTTAAGTCTCTGCAACCCCACTGAGATTAATAGCCTATCTTGTTTAAAGAAGTCATAATGACTAGCAGAGTTCCCTACTACAAACGCTCAGCTCCAGACTACCAGGTGCTGTTAAGCAGTTGTTGTTGCGATTTATCCTAGAGCTATTTATATTTATCTAGTAACTAATTATTCATAACTTGAGAGATAAATACATCATGTACAATCCATAAATAATAAAGCCAAGGCAACCTTCAGGATATGTTTTGCTATGTGGAGATAGAAGACCATACTGACATGAAAGATTCAGGTCAAATTTTATGTATTAAGTTAGGTTTTGGAGCTGATGATAACTGTTTGTGTGTTCTGTTGAGGCACCATGCAAAATAACTCTAGGGAGAAGGTGCTTGGGCAACTAAAATTAAGGCTCCTTCAGTTATCAGGTAGTGAACAATAAAGGACAAATGGACCCACACTAAGGACTTGCTAGCTAAGAGAATACAAGGCTCTTCGCTTCAAATGATGCGGAAAAATAGATGTATGGAAAACAGGGAAGGCATCTAGTAAGGAATGCTTCATTCACGGTAAGGACATTGTCAATCATAAGAGCTGCTGCAATGGAGCTTTGCAGCCAAGCTGCCATTGAGTGGCCCTGTTCCAAGAGGGTAGTGACACCTCCTCCTTTCCCTTCCCTGTGCTGCTAGTCATCCCAGTGACAACACATCTGTCATTAACTTTGCCACCTGAAGGCACTGATGGTCAATCAGAATAACTTAGCCTCCTGAAGTTGTCTCTAGCTGAGAAAAGCTCCACAAATAGGATTCCTCAAAACTGTTTTAGTAGTGATAAGGCTACTTGAGGAAAAGGCACAGTAAGGCTAGAGGGCATAATTATTTCTGCTCTGAATTCTAATATCTATTTTTGATTATTTATTTATTGTCAGGATAGATGAGATCTTTGGACCTTATTATCTGATAGAAGAAAATGTTCAGATATTCACAGATGATTTTATTTTTTATTTTCATCTCTTTTGTTGTTTCTCACCCAGCTGTCCATAGCACAGTGGAAAGCTGGCCTCTCCTCCTGACATATTGGCTTTATTACAAAGTTGGATTTCAAGGTAATTACAACAATGTATTTCCATGGTTGAAGGCAGGAGCTTCCTTTAAAATGCATTCAAAATGATATGGAATATAAATAAATTCTCTCTTCCATTTTCTCCTGACCATTAATGTGCAGCATCTTTTTGCCAAAAGGAAACAAAAGGCATTGTCTAATCTTGAATGACTGAGCAGAACTCAGTAAATGCATATACTGATGGTCACATGGCTCTTGAACAAACCTAATATAACTGACAAAATTTTTCTGCTGAAAATTGCCAGTGCTCATGGGACTAGATTTCAGCTCTTCAGCCGAGAATTTCTTTCTAGCCCAAATGTTTTGCCATTTCTGAAGACTACTTTGATCAAACTTCTGTATGAGATATTGATAAAGTAAGTTGCACAATTCAAATATACAACTCTCAATAAAATGGAAGCTGTTGTAACCAGCAAGAGGTACCATCGCCTGCAGGGGTTCATGCTGTGCTTCATGATACTGCACCTTCTCTCAAGCTTGTGTTCTTCAGCCTTAGAGAATAGAAATAATGTTGGTGCCTAGGGAAACATTTATTTTAGAAAACTGTGTAAAGCTTCTATTTTATTGAATGAAGAATGAATTTCAAACTTCAATAATGTGACCTTTTTGCTCAAATATTCTTATACAGTGCAGTAGAACCCTCCTGTGAAATGCAAGGCTATACTTCATAGTTAAATATGGACTATACATACCAAGAAGTGCTTTCTGTTGATTTTTTTTCAGTCCATCAGACTGAAATATTCAGTTCAACATCTTAGTCATTTTAGATTGAGAGACATTAGCTTTGCAATATGAGATATCAATGAAACACACATCCAGTGCTAAGTTAATCAGACCTCAAACCCATTGTTTCCAAAGCAAGAAAGGCATAAACAGTCAGAGGAAATCTCTCATCCTTACTCTTGGCATTGTCCTGGGGAGCAGAGGAAAAGACACTTGGCAGGATTGCCATTCATGACTTCATATTCCTGTTTGAAACATACAATGAGCTCATTGTTTTGCAAGGAGAAAAAGTCAATTATTAACTCAAGCAGTTTCTATTCAGGAAGGGATTATGGGGAATAGCAGTCAGTGTGCCAATCTAATTTTTGCAGGGTGTTTTCTAGTGTCCATCTCTTTCACTGACAAGTATAAAGCAGGCATAGAAAATTCTGTTTCAGCATAGGCAGTAGGAGACAATTTCTGTCTCAAGTAAGGCTGTTGTGTCTGCAGTTATGAAAGCCCAGAAAAGGCACATTGATTGCTGGGATCAAGCAGATGCGTTTCCCATGACTGGCACGATGCTCAGAGGCACAGGAATGAAGCACTGTCTTCTGGATGATACATACTGTCCTTGCCATGTCTGCTGCCATTACACAAGCAGAAGTGGAAAAGTTCTTGACAAAAGCAACATAGTGTAGCAGTGATGTTCTCGGCATGTTCCGTGTGGGAGAGGGGAATGCACAGCTGGAACTAGTACATGGGACAAAAAGGCACACAAAATGGTGGGTGAAATTAGTAGATAAGTAAGGTATGGTATTTGGATCACTGAAGCAGCTTGTATTTGAAATCAGGTTTCTAGAAAGGTATGACATTTCTGTGATAGGCCTGGTTTCTTTTATGGCCATTTTCCCATTAAAGGGTGCAATATCTTCAGCCTGGGCCTATGACTGACTTTCTTGGCCACTTACCTCTATTTTTCCCGATTTTAAGATATTCTTGGAATGGTGTCATTGCATACATTTACTCCCTTTTTCTGAAGAAATCAGTCAAAAAGGTGGCCAGAAAGAACCACACAAACATTTTACATCTTTAAACCTGGTGTTGTTGACTATATGAGGCAGATGCAGCCTGCGGCTGCCTGTGTTCCCTGGTCTGTGTATGTAGTCCCCAGCCACAGCCTTCTTGCACATGTCTGCGGGCAACAATCCTGCTCTCTCTGAATCACTGGAGACTCAGGACCTCTGAAGAGAGGCCATGGGACCACAAAAAGCCCAAATGGTGACACCTCAGCCTGGGCAATCTTGCAACCTGTGTTGCATTTCGGCTCCCGTATCAGGGGTTCAGGTGGCAATGGGGGCTCTCTGAGCTGCTTAGCGTTACAGGGTTGGGTGAGTGGATTTGAACTAGTACATTGGCAGTGATGTGGAGATAAAGGTGACATGTTTGGCTGAATCTCTCCTGGTAAATAGTTCTTCGTGGCTCCTGACCTCACCCATATGGGTCAGGGAGGGTAATTGTCTTGTTGTAGAGCTAGTTGTTATTTTAGTGACTCAGCAAATCACAGAAGCTGGAAAAACAAGACTTTTGCTTTCAGCTTTTCCTGATTAAGCTCTTTTTCTGAAGTCTTTTAAGCAAAGTAGAGCTAAGGAGACAAGTTCCCCAATAATCAGATTCCCCAGAGACTGAATCTGGGAATTAAACACATGGATTAGTGAAGCAGACTGTGAGGACAGATGTTAGAAATCATTCTTAGAGGGTTTTTTTTGTCTAGCTGTTTCTTTTCTCAGAAGACTCTAGTGAAAGAAAGTCTGCCTGAAAAACACAGAAAAATCTTCAGTGGGTAGGACTGCAGCCATTGTCTGAAAATACTAGATCTCACCTAACAAGTGGGATGGATTACCACAATAATAGATCTGTAAATTTTGAAAGAAGAGAGAACCGTTTTTGTTTTGTTCCCCCCCCCCCCCCCTGTACATCAAACTGTGGGTATCTATGTTCTACCTCCTGAAGTCTTCCCAGGCTGCCTCTATTGCAATGGAAAGAGAGTGACTTTGCTAAGGAAAAAAAAAAAAAAAAAAAATCAGTGTTAAATTTAAGTCCTTACTCTGTTTTCTTCTTGGAAGAACTCATCACTTTCCATTGGCAAGATCCTAGGCAGACCACTTGGTAAGTTAGATGTCAAGCTGAATAATCTGTTGTCTCAATTAAACTGATACAGTACTTTCATTTAGGATTGTAGCACATTTTTGGAACAGGTTGCCCAGGAGATTCTGGATTTTCAACAGTTACTTGGCTAGACAGAAGTATGGCTGACCTAAGCTACTGTTGTTGATAGACCACCTTTGAGCGAGAGACCGGACTAGCTGACCTCCAGAGGTCCTTTCTACGGTCTAGCCAAAAGCAAATATGAAAAACTCAAGCAACAAGCAAGCAACCAAACAAATTCTAACTGCAAATCCTGGTAGTGCTCAGAATTACTAGGGTTACCACTTTTCTTTATGATGCTGGATATTGTTTTGTCCAGCAAGTAAGAACATAGTGCTACTGAAGTATATAGTCATTCCAGTGGCAGCTTATTAAAAGATACCAGCTTTTTGAACTCTGTAGAGTGCCATATTCTATAGGACAAGTATGTCATTACACACTACAGAGTTTAATAAAGAGATAAATTACTGTCAAATACCATTTGTTTTTTTTAATTTTACTGGATTTCAAGTCATTATTCAACACTGATTGTAGCATGTGAGTTTAGTATGCTTGTGAGCAGAGAGAGCACACATTCCCTATTACACAGAATTTATAGACTCTTAACACAAGAAAAGGTAAGAAATAAAACTTCAAGAGGGGCAGCGTTTGGAAAATGCTATCTGGAAAACAAAACCCGTCCGTTCAGCAGGAACTGGAAAAATAATAGAGAAGATGGGGAGAGTCTTCAAGTCACATGGTCCAAACTGTACACTTCATCATGAGAAGGAGGGGAAAAAGGAATGAGGATATCAGATGATGGAGAATGTATATGGGGTTAGAGAACACATTCTAGCAATGAGAGCTCAGCATATGTCAAAAGGAGATTATATATAGCCTTGTAGGTGAAGATGAACGGTTTGCATTTTGTAAGATAAGATGAAGGTGTTTAACATAAATATTCAAATAAGTTGCCATCCAGGCAGATATAATATAGATGACCAAGTCTTAGACTATTGACAAAAATTATGTTGTGTAAAATAAATGTTTAGTTGCTTTATAAAGCATGCCCAAGTGTAAAATATTCACAGGAAAAATATACATTAATATTTCTACAAGTAAACCCTCCCACCCGCTCAGAATTTGAATGCTATTTGTTTCTGATTTTGTGACATGCAGGATTGGAATCCATTATGCAATAAATCCATCTTCTAAATTATTAATATAGCTGTCCTTATTTACAAGATATATAAAATTGAAAAAATACTAGATAGTCATGATTTCCTTCACATCAACATTTGCACCTTACAACACAGGCATTTTTAGTGCTTATCCTCCTAAAGCCGGAGCTGACTATCAGCTGTCAGGAGTGATGAATGCCCAGCTGTTCTTTCCTTTGGGCAGGGAAGTGAGTAAATGACCTTTCAAGGTCCCTTTGACAAATGGGATCCCCGACACCTAACCAACCCCAGTTCTTTTCAGGCAGAGGAGTGGGCATGGGGCCAGGGTGGTGAGCTTAGGAGAGAAGTACTAGAATCAAATCACTGATAATCGTTGCTGGTTTACAGTATTCATTGTTGGTTTACTTCTTTCTTTTACATACAATCCAACTGTTTTCTTAGATTGAATCAAAGTGTATCAACAGAAAGCTATTTAAAAGGCAATATATATTTACACACACCTGACACAACCAGATCTTCAAATGCAAAATTTACATACACCCCCAGTACTACTGGAACAGATGTCTTAAATTAGATTCCTAAAACTATATTTAGATATCTATCATTTGAAATGCTAAATTGTTCATCCTTCATAAGCTCACATCGTCACCAATGGCTGCTGTGGACAGAAGGCATTGTTGCCTCTAATTAATTTGGTTTGAAGTTGTTCAGGGATATAGTTCATCCTGTTGATAACGTGACACTATAATTATGTGACTCAAGTGAAGACTGATGCTTTAGGAACAGAAACTATTAGCTGATCAGTCCCTAACATTTCTGTGTGGATCTACCTACTGACATAAGGCGGTGCCTTTCTATGTTATTTCACTGTTATACAAAATAATAAAAAAAAAGGATTGTTTGATACACGGAGGTATTTTGCAATGGTTTTCTTAGCTTCTGGGCAAAATGACAGGTGGATGGATATACTGCTTATTTTAAAATAAATTTCTTTTGATTATTTTTCTATTTCAGCTCGAGTAAGTTGTAGTACGGTGACATTTTCCAAATATAATATTGTTTGCCCATTGTTTAGTGCTAATAATATCTTCCACATCTTTAATAAGTCTTACATAATTAGTTTTTTTCCTGTTGATAAACACTGTGTTGGAGATGTTTAAATAAAATTATGATCAGAAAAAAATTACTTTCTAGAAATTAGTCTTTCTGAAGAGGCTGAAAAACATATTTGCTCACTTTTGTGACAAAATGGAATTTTTATTACATTTACCCTGGTTAGCTTTGATCTCTTTGAGGACAGTGACACAGATTTTAGTCTAGTGTTGGCACAACCAGAATTGTTAATGAAGTTGCTCCTGCTGGATTAAACATTACCTTTAGTTATACCTCATATATCACTGAATGGCACAAATGGAAGTGGATGACATAAAATTAAGGGAAAATTTCGTCCTTTACCCCACCTGAAATTGCTTTATTCCTTGGAAGTCTAAACTGAAAAAGAACATAACTCCATTTTCAGATGACAGGGTAGCTTTGTGGTGCTTGTGTTTCAGAGTGGAAAAATTATACTTGATCTCTAAAACAAATTCTGAATTCTGCAGAAAATCTGATCTCTTCAGTCATGGAGACAACAAATATGGAATCTTATTAAGCAATTTTCACAGAGTTGCTTTTCAAAAGAGAACTATTTAAAGGTTTTATCTAGTGCTACCCTGCTTGTCTCACTGCTCTTCACACTGTAACTGCAAACATATTCTCCTTTATGTGTTTTTTCCCCAGTTGCAGTTTTTTCATAGCTTTGTATACAGTGTATTCCACATATGTCTATTATTGTGGCCAAAGCTCCAGTTA